ATTTCGATTGGCCACCACCGCTGATCATTACGGTTTATCTACATGTGGGTCCCCAGTACACGCTGACATCTGCTTAAATTCACGTAGGGCTGATGGCATGCTGATGTGAGTTTAGGTCATGGAAGCCAGCCATAGAAGATCATCCCACCACGACACAATGGAAGGTTCTAGATCCTTTTTAGTTTCTAACTTTCATTTGTTATATTATTACCGAAATGGAATCATCCTTCAGATTAGTTATAATGAAGAATTTTGATCTATCTGCAGGGATGTTATCTACAAAATTTAATGTAGCCCCCCATGGTGGTATAGAAGACAGGTGAACCTCTAATAGACATTGACTGCTGCTCTAATTTTCCTGCCTTGATTAATTTTCGCTCCTATTAACAGAGTATAATCGGCATATCCTCCAGACTGGCGGTCAGCCTGATCCGGGGAGGGATTCCCAAACCATGAATCGGCACGGAGGCCCAGCATGGCGCCCCCCCCCCCGTCGGGGTCGTGCTACCCAGGCTCGTGCAGAAGGCCGTCAGCTACAGCGGCAGGGTCTTGACACTTGTTTAAATCTACCCCTTACCATACTGCTCTTGTAACATAAATTATATAATAATGATGATTATACTTTATTTATCCCCACGGGGAAATTCTTTTTTTACCTACCCCATCTTGCTCTCCACAACACACAGACACGTATAGGTGAGAACATGCCTAACAACCATGGACCCGGGCGGTTAAGGACCTTGCTCATATAAAATTATGGGTTCGAACCAGCACAAAAGTTTAGCCTGAGGAGCTACACACTGATACTAATATGTCATCCTAATGCAATAAATTAAATGTTAATGGTATAATGGCATACTTTTCCTTTTTTGCAATCTTCAGAGTATGAGTTCCAGTAATCTGATAATCACTGTTGCCACATGGTGGGGGGGGGGGGGCGTTGCCCATTTTCTATGCACTGCTCTGAAAAATGTCTGCACCAGCCATGGTGGTTCCAGCAGGCCTGGGATGAACTGCCCCTCCCTCATCCCCATATCGCCCCCCCCAAAGGGCAGGCTCTACTACACCAGCACCATGTGGCTGGCCATGTGAAAATGACCCTAAGAGATAAGACATCCCTGTGCCTCCTGGGGGGGGGGGGCTTCCAGCGGAACAAATGAGCCGGATAAACAGACAGATCCCAAGTTAATTGCCGAGGACATCCGACATACATCTCTTTTTATGGTTTACCAGTACGACGTGTTTTTTTTCTTCCTGTGCTCAGTCACAGCATAGCTATGATAGTGGGGGGGTCAGGGAGGGCAGCCATTTTCCCAGCAATCATCTTAATACATAATGCTTATTGGACAGGGGGGGTTAATGGCAGTGAGTGCACTGATGCTTCCTTCCCTAGTAATTCCTCTTATGAGTGCATCATCCTGACAGGGTGGGGCCCTTCACTGAGGCTCCGCAGTGTGCTGAGATGAGGAGCTCTGGGTCTCCAGCTGCCTGAGCGCTGTTGTAGGAGAGAATACCCTGCGTGGATTAATGACTTCATTTCTAGAGCAAAGCTCCCTGATGGATATCATGCTAACTGATATTTCGGAAAAGGGAAATAGTCACATAAAATCTACATTTTGTGGTCCTTCTCTCCTGCTCTCGCTTCTTCTCAGGCCTTCTGGTGGACTTTGGGAACGTTATCAGAGATATATTTGTTAGTGGTGTCTGTGGTATCCTATGCAGGGCATATGCTCACAGAGGCTGATGTGTCGTTTTTGTACCAGCAAACAGGTACCATCTGAGGGTTCACTTAGGCAAGGTACACGTACTAAAACGCAAAGGTACACGTGCTAAAACGCAAAGGTACACGTACTAAAACGCAAAGGTACACGTGCTAAAACGCAAAGGTACACGTGCTAAAACTCAGAATGCATAAGCAAAGCTGTTCAGCTGATCTACTACAAACACTTGGTCTATTTTTGCAACTACAGTGGTACCTCAGTACCATTGAAAATCCCGCATCAGGTAATATGCTGTACTTTATAACATTTTGGTACCCATTGCTCACCAAAAAGTTACGCAATTTACGAACAAATTAAGGAATACAGAGTAATAATAAAAATAAACAATGGACCGCATGGCATAGTCTAATGTTGGCGCAGTGTTGGGGCATGACTTGGGGTAGTGTTGGGGCATGGCTTGGGGTAGTGTTGGGGCATGGCTTGGGGTAGTGTTGGGGCATGGCTTGGGGTAGTGTTGGGGTACATTCATTATCGTTTTGGAAGCCATTAAGAAGAAAATGTTACGCACGGCGTATGTTTTTAACTTTACACATTGTTTGGATACATTTATTTTCTTACTTTACAAATTACTGTTTTGATAAATGTGCTTAGATGTGTTTAGTACAGTATATGCTCTTCTTGTTTTATCCTGTTCATTTTGTTTAAATGCTAAAAAAAAACATATTTATGTATAATTTTTTTGGGCCAGGAACCAATTAATTGGTTTTCCATTATTTCTTATGGGGAAAATTCGATCAGAACTCCAACTTTTTAGGATTCGAACCCGAGTTCTGAACGGATTAAGTTCGGATAATTATGGTAGAATAAGCTTTGATGCCCAGATCTTTGTATAATTAAATGCATTTTATTGTCAATACAGACGCTCCTCTACTTACGAACTTTCAACTTACGAACTTTTGGACATACGAACGAAGAGGACTGTAAGTCCAAATTGTGTTCGTTAGGTTCCCGTTTCCTGTCCGCAACATCAATTTTTTGATTCCACCTAGTACGACTTCTGGCCGCTACAGAGCAGCAGTGTAGCGTGCGTACTCCCAGCATCCTAGTTCTTTGTACTTGCGTATACCCTTAAAATGATGTTGAATAACGACTTACGGACATTTCAAGTTACGAACGGCCGTTCAGAACATATCTTGTTCGCAAGTAGAGGAGTGTCTGGAATTAATTGGTATCCCATCCAGGGTGTCCCCTGCATTGCTCCCTGTTCTTCCCAGCTTATGCTCCCGGCTCTCTGTGACCCTCTACTGAATAAGCGGTTATGGAAGATGGATGGATGGATGAGTGTAAGTGATCTTTCATGAATTTGTTAGTTAGTCATTTATGTAAGAGTCAGGGCCGTGCAAAGACATGGTTGGGGCCATGAAAAATTCAACTGTGTCCCCCCTGTTCTCCAAACCAAAGTTACCATCGTCCTCACTCATACACTCATGAGCGCCCCCTAGTGTCCAGGCCCCTGAAATACCATCTTTCTCACTCATACACTCATGAGCGCCCCCTAGTGTCCAGGCCCCTGAAAGGATAAAGATCACTACATTTAAAATGAATGCTTTTGTGACCTCTCTGTAAAGAACGACAGCCATTCAGGTTGATTTTCTTATAATGGTAGATAGCATTGACTGAAATAGGTCGCACTGGAGTCTGCAGTGTTAATGTATCTCCCCAAATCAAAAGGCATCCCACTGCCAAAGTGCCCTTCTGGAAGCTTCTCTCCTAAAACAAACGAAGGGCTTGCCTTTTGGCTGTAAATATCGGCTTAATTCAATCCACCACTCAGCTTCACTGCTGTTTTCTGCTTCTCACACAAGGATTGAAACAAAGGGAAAAAGTGCCGTGAAAGCTTTTGAAAAAAAGCAACGTGACTTTAAATGTGTGGCAATGATTAAATCCAAGCAGAAGGACTGAATTGCACCCGGAGATTTCTGATATGTCCAACTTCTGCTATGGAGTTTTACTTTTTATTTACTTTTGCACAGAAACAAAACAGCAGTAGCTTTTATGGCTAGGAGTGAGAAAATATTTTATTTTGGCGTTCACAGGTTCATGGAGCCTCTAATAAGGAGTCTTAAAAAAACATACCAGCGCAAAAGGAGAAATCCTGTTCACCAAAATGCTGCACCGCAGATCACAGGAGCCAATCGGTGTGTAAGTGCTGCGCTTAAATGCAAATGAAATGCCTCGCACTGAAATGTTAGGAATAACAAAAATCACAATTTTGATCATTAAGAGGGCCTTTTGTTAGTTTTAATTGCCATTCTTGCACTTTTTTTAAATCAAATGCATTGTAGAGGGATTCTGGAAGACGATGAAAACAGATGGTGTTTATCCTTTGGAGACAAATCCTTCTCTTACAAAGAAACGTAGGTTAATTTTTCCCTTACAGGTCATGGTATCGTGATGCTGTGTTTTTGACAGGCTGCTTTGAGACTAATTAGGGGGAAAAAACAACAGAGGACCTTCTATACAGTAAGTGTCATTCTTGTCAGTGATATTGCACCTGATCTTGCGTTGCGTTGTGGAATAATGATTTTTCCAATGACCACAGATTTTAAAGAGGCCAGGATCCAGGTCAGTGAAACACATTAAATTACGTAAGCCAGTACAAACAGCCCAGAACCCCCCCCCCCCACCCGTCCAGGG